TTTAGTAAAATTGAGAATATCATCAGTTTTTTTCAATTTTTAAAATTAAGAATATTTTCAATTTTGCATAATAATATTTCAGTTAATTGTTTCACTAATTGATGAAAAAAATAGAGCGTGAGATTAAACGTTTTTGCTCTTTTACTTATTGGTTTAATTTAATTATCCAATAAAACTGAGAACATTATCATTTTTTTCAGTTTAAAATTGAGAACATTAACAATCTTTTCATTTAAAATTTTTTTTTTCCAGTTTTGCATATCAATATTCCTTCATCATACTCCTTTATACACACAAAATTTTTAATTTTACAGAAAGAAATAATTTAGTTTTTTCAATTTTTTCAATTTTTTTTTACATATATATATATATATACATATATTTTTTTTTAGTTTTTTCAATTCGAAAGTTGATATTTTAAAGTTTTGAAAATCAAAATAAATGTCAAATTATCATGTTCTTTATAGATAATCATAAATGATGAACAATTATCATTTGAAAGGCAATTCCAACTATTAAAAATTTAATGGGACTTGAAAGTTTAAAAAATCTTAGTTGTAACTAAGGTTAATGAATTACAATTTGTATGTAAATGTCCCTTTTTTAAATAAAACTTTTGTGATAAAAAATATATAATATTATTAAAAAAAATCTACCATTTAGAAAATAAAAAATAAAAACAACAATAACAACATTTCATATATTTTGAATTTTGAATTTCAAAATGACTCTCCGTTGTTAAAACACGGATGAACATCCAAAATTAATTTATCAAAATTAAAATATTAAGATTTAGAGGAAAAAATGAGTGAAATTTTAATCACAAAAAATTTAGGTTGGGAATCATATTATTTTATTATGTTTGTGCCAAAAAAAATTAAAATAGATGGTCAAATTTTAAAAATATATTTATTTTTTTTATTTTTTTGAAGATTAAGATAATAAAATAAAAAAAGATAAATTATCAATATATCCTAATAGTTGAATTTAAATCCCATAAAGTCTTGTTAAAAAAACTCTTAATAAAATTGTCGGTAAAAATAATTTTGTTGTGACGATTTTTTGAATGTGGTTAAAAATTGACAATTAATAGTTTTTTTGTCACAATTTTTATAAATTGTCGTTGAAACTTATAATTAGTGACATTTTCTGTTGATAAATTTTCTTAACTATCGCTGAAAGTTAAAAATTAGTAACATTTTTTTTGTGCCAATTTTTTTAAATTGTCACTAAAACTTATTATTAATGACATTTTTTGTAGGGCTGAGCATGGTCCGGATTGGGAGAAAATCAAGACCAATCTGTTATCTACTGTTCCTGAAAAATTAGAACAAATTCAATTCGTTTAAATCGTAGTACCAATCCGAACCAATCCGTTTAAACACGGATTGAATCGGTTTAGGATCACAGATTCACATAATTAAATAACAAAAAAAGTATAGAACATTTAAAGCAAACAACATCCTTTGTGTGGGTCTATTTGTGTGTTACTGTTAAGTAATAACTGAACCACCATTCTGATGTTAAGAATTGATGAGATCATGCATAATTCTTTAGTGATTTTTTTTTTTTTTTTTTTTACCAAATTAGCTAATATTGCTGATAAATCAGTTTGCTACAGAATAAGCTATATATTATATACATAGTATATGGTTAACTTATTGCAATATATTTATATTTATATTTATATTTCTCAAGTTACTTCAGGAATGAGCCCAGCTTTCAATCTTTATGGATTCACCTTAATTGGTAACATGCAGACTTCTACCTTTTGTCCTACTTCCTTAACACAATGAATAACACTATACCAGAAATCAAATAAAAAACATATACTGTATATTGTACAAATATAGATTATTTCTAAACGGTCCGAAACCAAATCACAAATTCCAAAAATCAATTCAAACCTATCGGATTTGACTGGATCGGATCGGATTATGAATTTTACAAATCCCTTACTCAACCCTAATTTTTTGTAATAATTTTTAAACTATAACTTAAAATTAACCATTAATAATATTTTTTTAATAATATTTGATGAAAAACGTTATCGATCCTTATAGCACTTATTGGACAAGTCCACCCAGGACCTATAAGCTCCCCCAATAAAAAAATGTTACGACTGTTGATCCATTAAATTATTTTTATTTTTATTTTTTTGAAGCGAAGAACACTCAAGAGTATGAATCAGGATTTCCTCCTTACATTTTCTATTTGCAAGTCTATTGGGCCCACTTTTAGACTCAATTTTGATAATTCGAACAGTTCATATTTTAAGATTTGTTCAGTATATCATACCTGTAAAAAATCAAGTTGATCGGATATCAAAAAGCATGTGTTCGGAAAACTCGAACTAAAAACTATTTTTTTAAAGAATTTAATAAATAGTTTTCCGAACACATACTTTCTGATATCCAATCAACTTGATTTTTTACAGGTATGATATATTGAATAAATCTTAAAATATAAACAGTTCGGATTATTAAAATTGGGCCTAAAAGTGGGCCCAATGAACTTGCAAGTAGAAAATGCAAAGAGAAAATGTAAGGAGGGAATCCTGATTCCAAGAGTACTACTCAAATGAGAATTTCAGATTTGAAACCCTTATTTGAAGCACTGAAGAGAATGATTGTTGAGTAGAGATAGAGAGAGAAATTGAGAGCAGATTTGGAAGAGCCCCTTGAAATGGCATCACAGCAGAGCAGAGGTACTCTCTATACATACTTTTGTGTATATATACTTTTTGTATGTTTTCACATATATAAACATGTACATAAGTATATTGTGGTACATTAAACCGAGATGTGAAGGAAATAATTTTTGAATTGTTGCTTTCAGATAATTTGTTTTGCTTTTTATTTGTCAGTTTCACTTCCTTTTCTGGCATTGCTCTGCTACCAAACAGATCCCAACAAGCATGTTAATTTTTTGTCCTGTGTTTGGTGGCTAAGAAAACCAATTTCAGGAATTGGAAGTGCGTTGCCAACATTTTTATTCTGCTCTGTGTCTTAATTGTTTTAATTTTCTCTTGATCTTTTCCTTAGATATTGGCTTTAGTATGCCTAAGTAGTTGAGTTTAACTATGCATAAAACTCTCATTTTATCATAACAACACAACAACAACTAAAAAATAAATAAATTAAGAAATGTGAAATCTAACCATGTTTTAGTGTCTTTGTATACAAGAATTAGATGAACCCGACACAACCTTATATAGCGAATCAGTCTTTTAAATACATCCATAGTTCCATACTATTTCAAACAAACATAATCTACATATGTGTCTTTAAATAAGATGTATTCGCTATATCTGCCTCCTCACCCGGTCTTTGAACATGAACAAGGGCATTTCTAATCCTATTTAGTTCTGTGGGGGCCGAATATATGGAAAAATCAAATGGTGCGTACCATTGGAAGACTGATATTAATCGGCTATATCCTACGAGAGTGGGGAGTCGAATATAATATATGTGCCGAATAAGTGTAAGTCCTTAGGGCCGAATAAAAGAAAGGACAATGATTAAAAAGTAGGCCCTGACCCCAAGGATCAAAAAGAACAGGTATAAATACAGGAACAACGGTTATAGAAAGGTATGTAAGAATCACTTCACAAAACTTAGTAAAGAAGCTACCCTGAGTGTCTGAACTAACTTGTCCGTCAGAGTGCTAATTCCGGCACCCCCGACCGGAGTGTTTGTATATTTTCAGGTGACTAGCTGAGGATCACTAGCGTCTCCCAGGATCTGAAGAGTATTTCCGAACCATTTCTCCACAAGTTCTATGAGAACATCTTTAATATCCATTTGTTCTCTTGGGCCTTCAGCAGAACAAGAAGCTCCAATTTGAAATATCGATGCCAAGCATTCCTTTATTACTTTGCCTTAAGAACTTTGGCCGGGATAACTAGACCCGTCTTCCTTTGCCATTATGTTTTGTGGATCAACAATTTCCATCACTCGACGTGGGAGAGCCATCTTAGCATAGCTATGGAGGTTGAAATCTATGAAGCATGGGAACTTCGAAAAACATGCCGTACCCGTTCTGGGTATTTACCGGCTTATGGCACTTCGTATGGTACTCCTGCATACGTACCGGATACACGAAACATGCACTTAAATTTTTTCTTCTTAACTTTTGGTGTACTTAGATGTACCTAGTACATACTCAAGCCGTACCGTACTTCAGTCGAAATAATATTTTCTTCTATTACAAAAATAAAATTCATTTCACTATATTTCTTTTTTATTTTTAGTTTTATGCTTAGTATAATTTTAAAATTAACTTATGGTTTGTAAGTTACTTAAATAATAATATTTATTTTGGTTTATACCTTTATTTTTGGCATTAAATATTAATTGTAGATTGGATCTTAACAAATTAAACCATTTAATCAATTTTTGTATTACTCCAAATTAAAAATAAATATTTTTTTACAAATGTACCAAGATGTACCCATACCTTACTTTTTTTTTGGATTTTACCATATTAACATACCTGTATCGTACCAGTGTCAGTACTCGTACCCATACCTGTATCGTGCTTCATCAGTTGAAATTATCTGTAAACATGTCATTGGTTGGTCTTTTTTTCTGTAAACATTTCCAATAGGGGGATTCCATAGCTGTACAAATCACCTTGTGTTGATATGTCTTTACCCATACCGTATTTTGCATTTTAAGAGAAAGAAAAAGATAGAAAAGCCAAGAAAAAGAAGAGCATGAACTTGTAAAAGTCTTTTAGGGACTAATTTGAAGTACACATGGAAATGACATGACTAAATAGTGATGCTATATCTCTAACATCATTTCTATAGGGCTTTAGATTCACATGATACTAACATATTGTTAGAAGAGAAATTGAAATAATGAGGACAACCTGGCAAACGAGGCTCTTGCTAAAATGGGATTTGAGAGGGAAAGAAAATTTGAAATAATAATAACAGTAAGTTCATCAAACACTATTGGGAAAAAAAATTACATGTATGAATATTTAAGTAGATCTTAATTACCTAGAGCAACATATCCAACTGTTCCTCTAATCCCAATTGAACTGCTTTGTGCATAGTTGGTGTCTCCTGTGGTGGCTAAAAGAAATCTTGCCAGGCCAAAATCACCTACACGGATACAAAGATTGTTGTCAAGACGAACATTGCTCGGCTTTAAATCACAATGAGCGATTGGTATATCATAATGATGATGAAGATATTCTAGTGCAGAGGCTACATCGATTGCTATGTTTAGCCTGTGGGTTAGGTTCAAGTTTTTTGTGTCATTCTGCTCAGTTGAACTTGGATATAACCAGCTCTCTAAACTTCCATTTGACATGAACTCAAAGACTAAAGTTTTTAAATCATTGCCTTTAAAATCTAAGCTTAAGCATGAGGTGATGACCTTGACTAGGTTCCGATGACGGAGGTTCCTTAATGCTTCGCATTCTGCTAAGAAGCTCTTGTCTGCTCCACTTTCTTGAAAGTTAAGGACTTTCACAGCAACAGTTTGCTCACCAAAAGTGAGAATTCCCTTATAAACTGAACCATATCTTCCCTTTCCGATGAAGTTATCTAAAGAGAATCCATTGGTAGATTGATGTAGTTCTACATAAGAAAGTTCCGGATATTGGTTTTCCTCTGTCGATACCAAAGAGGGTTGTTTGGACTTTCTTAATCGATAAAGAACAGCACAAACACATACTACCAAGAAAATGATGGAAAGTCCAATGGCAGTTGCGACCAATAGCGCTGTTGTAGACACCCCATTTTTGACCGCCCTCAAGACTTGGACATCACCGTTTGAACACTCGATGATCATCCATGTTCGTGTTCGTTTTGAGTTCTCGGAGGTCTCGGCCGCGCGCCTTGCCTCAAGATCTCTCAACTTGACTGTTTTGTGCTTGGTTGTAGACCAAACACTTGTATTTCTATTTTTGAAGGAAGAGGGTGACTTGTTGGCCATCCCTTCAACCCACCGGCCATGGCATGATGCCACCGGCCCATTTTTGTAGCCATCGGCCAAAGGTGTTGGCCGGTCGGCACCTTTGTTGGTCAGTCGGCTACCTTTGTTGGTCAATCGGCCATTTCTGCTGGTCGACCCCTTTCCATTTGTTTTTAGTAGATATTTTATGCCAGCTGTCACAACTGGCATCCACTTTACACCCCCTCCATACACGTGTATGGAGGGATTTGCTCCCTTGTGTTAGCTTCTCCAAGAAGCTTAGGAATTGAATTCCTATAAGAGGGGAGGCCCTCTTCCCTCCTCAGAGGTTGAGAAAATTAGGTTAGAAGATTTTGTATTTATCTATCTCTATAATTCCCTCTCTTTACATTTGTGTGTGTGTTTTGTGCCCTAAAGGGGTTTTTGTTCTTAGTTTTGCACTAAGACACCTAGTGTTACACCATCCTTGGTTGCTGAGGCTCTAAGGAGTTGTTGTTAGGGTTCTTGGGCTGGTTTTGATCTAAGGAAGGTGCTGGAGTTGGTGTTCTTGAAGTGTTCTTCAAGGGTGAGAACTACCTCTTTTATTCCCTATTTTTGCACAAGCTTTTAGCCTATCTTGCATACTATTTTAAGCTTAGTGTATAACTAATAAAAGTTCTATTTTTAAGTGCTTAAAATAGTTGTTTAAGATCACTTTGGTGTTTGGGGTTGTTTACTCCCTTTTAGGCGTTGTTTGGCCTCTTTTTTGTGCCCTTTTTGTGAGCTCCGGGACCACCTCGTATTGGCCTTCTCACCACTGAAATCCCTGGATTTTAGTGGTGGGGATGGTATTTTGAGGTCCTAAGAAGGAGAGGGCCATCCCCTCTCCTTGTTGTTTTCAATACTTGTTATATTTGCCTCATGTGTGAGCACCTTGGTTAAGTTCATGTTGGCCATGTCTTAGCTGGTATTTGGTGTTATTTTGCCATGATTTACCTCTATCCAAAGTTGGTTTAGTGGTCACTTGCATGCACCATATACTTGTCTTGTAATCCCATGATTTGGCCTAACATGCATCATGTTGTAACATGTCTTTCTAGCATGATTTTGGCTTGACTTCAAGAAGTTTTTATCCATGTTTTGGTATGCTTGAGGTTTGATTTTGGTTGTTTGGGTCATCCATGACTTGCTTTGTATAGCTACCATGTAATCTGACTTGTGGGCTTCGAGTGTTGAATCCTCTAGCATGCTCTACTTGCATCATTTCAGTGGTTTAGCATCACTTTTAATGATATTTCAGTCCATATAGTATGCTCATATACTTCCACTTATGGCTTCTTTGATAGTTTAAAAGGTTTGTGTTTTATACCTCATAAATGTGTCATTGTGCATGCCATCGTGTGTGGGCCTTTGGGTTGCCATCTAAGCGGGTTTTTGGGCTCATTTTGACATGCCATAACTCTGTTTTTGGTTGCTTAAATAAGGCCATGTTTGGTTATATTAGGTGTAGTGTAACACATCTTTTGTGGCCTTGTATGCCTCATGTTTTGCCCCTTTGTTTTGGCTTGTCTTGGCCTTGGTCATCGCATGTTTTAGGCTTACTTTGCCATGCTTTAGGACTGCTTTGGGTTATGCTTGCCATATGCTCTTTGTTTTGTGTAGCTTTGGTTCAAATCCCTTGACTAGTTTTAGGCCCTATGCCTTAAGCATGCATGCTTGACTTGTTTATGTGATTTGGCATCATTCATAGTATCATTTCAGAGCATGTAATGTTGTCACATTTGTATGCTTTTCATTCCTTTTAAGTGTGCTTAAAAGTCCCCCTTTGATGCTTAAGTTTTAGGCCAATTACCATGCATGTTTATATGTGCATTTGTCCCTTATCCTTTAGCACTTTGGCCACTGATTTTGGCATGCTTGAAAGCTACCCATGTTAGTGTAAGTCCATCTCACCATGTTGTTGCATGCTTGTTTCATTTTGCATGTTGTTGCATGCTATACATGTCCACATGTTTAGGTTTTATGCCTATTGCGTATTGCATGTTAACATGCTTAGGAATGGCAATGGGGGGCAATGGGGTGGATATTAATTCCCCATCCCCATTCCCCTATAATAAATTTTTCCCATTCTCCATTCCCCATTCCCCATGGGTACCACCCTCTCCATTTTTTAATGGGTATGGATTTTCCCCAACCCACTTTAATCCCCATTTTTATTTTCTTTATTTAATGTTTACAAAAACTTTTTTTTTTTTTTTTTTTTAAGGTTCACAACAATTTTACTAACCCAAAATAAAGAAATACTTTGAGATAATAAAAATTAGGAAGAAGATTTCATTTCTACATGATATATACCAACCATGTTCACACACAGTTAAAGCAATTTACAACCTCTCTCAAAAACCCCCAAAAAATCACTTACACAGGTTGGCATATCAACAAAAATCTAGGCACGTAAACAAGGCACCACAGGAAGAAGAATTCCATGAACATATACATTGCAACAAGCACACGACTAGCTTATTCATTAACATATTACATAAGCAACATAACCAAGAGTGACTTTTTTGTTCTGTTTATTTTTTTATCTTATAACCCAGGACACAACCCCTTTCAAGTTTGATTAACCCTTTTCAAGTTAGATTAGACAAGCCCTAGGCAAGCTCTTAAGAGGGGCCCTTTCACATATTTACCCTCAAAACAAAAGTTTGGGTAAAATGGTACAAACAAAAATAAAAATTAGAGGCTATTCCATTAATACACAAATATTAGGGCACACAATTAGAGATTAAATTAGGGCAACAACTATGTTCTTCCATTAAAATCTGATAAAGAAAGAGAGAGGAAGCACTCACCGGCGGACATGGCTGTTCGAGTCTTCGCTGATGATCGCTAGCTGAGCTTGAGTCGCTGCTCTCGAGTTCTAATATGGCTGACTAAGAGAAGAAGAGTTTGTTCTGGATCTCGAATTCCTCGTTTTGGGTTGGGCCCTTCAGATTGGCCACTCTGAATTTTTACTTATGAATTTGCTGAGAGCCCTATTTTGAATCTAAACTTTGGCCCACCTAGTTGGATTAGACATCCAAATCTGAAAATAATAAGATAAGATGCACTATTTTTCATCACTGAATTGAAATGAAAATTGTACCTCTTGTAATTTCATTTATCCAAGCCTTGGTTCCAAATCTTATTCCATTAAAATACGCATTAACTCTCTATCAAATGCCATGAACCCTATAGTCAACAATTCTAAGCATATCAACAAGAAAATCTAACATTACTGAACGTTGTTCTTCTACATTAGAGCAAAGCAACCTATTTACAAGAGTAAGCTTAAGAAAATAAAAATCGATCACAAAATTGAATAGTTATACGTTGATGGATAAGATTTTGAAAGGAGAATTTGTTAGTGAAATCCACTTTTGGAAAATTTTGGCTCCATATTTTGCAAGGAGAATTTGTCAGTGAAATCCACTTTTGGAAAATTTTGGCTCCATATTTTGCAAGGAGAATTTGTCAGTGAAATCCACTTTTGGAAAATTTTGGCTCCATATTTTGCAAGGAGAATTTGTCAGTGAAATCCACTTTTGGAAAATTTTGGCTCCATATTTTGCAAGGAGAATTTGTCAGTGAAATCCACTTTTGGAAAATTTTGGCTCCATATTTTGCAAGGAGAATTTGTCAGTGAAATCCACTTTTGGAAAATTTTGGCTCCATATTTAAAAAAGATTGAATGTATATTTAGTTTTGGTTATGAATCTTAAAAATTAAAAAAAAATGGTTGTGAACCTTAAAAATAAAAATAAAAATTAGATGTATATTTAGCTTTGGTTGTGGATCTTAAAAAAAATAAATAAATAAATAAATTGGTTGTGAACCTGAAAAAATAAATAAGATAAAAAAAAAAAGATTGAATGTATATTTAGTTTTGGTTGTGAATCTTAAAAAAAAAAAAAAAAAAAAAAAAAAAAAAAAAAAAAAAAAAAAAATTGTTTGTGAACCTGAAAAAATAAATAAATAAAAAAAAGAAAAAAGATTGAATGTATATTTAGTTTTAGTTGTGAAAAAAAAAAAAAACATATGGGGAAATTAGTGGGTACCCATCCCCAACCCATCCCCTGTGGATATTTAAAGAATATCACCTACCCTACCCAATGGATAAGAAAAAGAGGGGAAAACCCATGTATTTGGGTTGGGTCTCCATGGATACCCATAGGGTAGGTTATCCATTGCCATCCCTAAACATGCTCATGTTGCATTAGATTTGTTGCACACTTGAGTTATTTGCATGCTTGCTTGCTTGCTTAGGTTGCATTGCACGGTGTGTGCATCGCTTGCCTTTTGATCAAGCATGATAGAGGTTTGGGGCCCTTATGTGTTTTTGTGCATTTCATTTGACATCAAATATGCATACTTGGCTTCTTGGGCCATCATGCATTGAAATGCGTGATTGATGACCCGAGGGTCGAGAACTATACTCCTTGGAATCTCAAACATGATGAGGAGGGTGGTGGTGCATACATTGCTTTGAAAATGCATTGCCATGTCTTGTCTGTCCTCTGCTGCAGCAAAATAGGGTTCTGCAGGAAGATATGGCCGGTCGGCCATCTTAAGTGCCGGTCGGCCAACCATTTGTGGCCGAGAGCCCTATTCTTGGTCGATGACCAGTTCCCAATGGCCGGTGGTGTTTCCTCTTGGCCGGTGGCCTCTCACAACTCCCAGGAAGTATTTCAGAAGCAACTTTGAGACTTGTGCAGTGTTCAGAGGTGCAGAGCAGTGTAAACAGAGGCAGCATGAGTATGGCGATGGATTTCCGGGCGGTGCCGAGAATGCATGCATTTGTCCCTCTTCCTAAGGTTGCTTTACCGCTTTATTAGCTTGGTTAATTTGCTTAACTAGTTAAGTGATCTGTAATAATTAATTAGCTAGAGTAGTTAATTATTTATTTGGTCCGTATTATTCTTTCGGCCCCTCCGTCGAGAGGGCGCAATTGTGTAATAAGCGTGCATGTGTGTGATGCATGTCTCCCAACCCTATTTCTTTCTCCCTTTTATTTAACCGCTTACGATGGTTAGATTTAGGGCATATTTCATTTAGCATCCTTATGCTATGCATGTTTGCATCATTCATTTGCATTGCATTGCATCATTCATTTGAATACGTGCATCGAATCGTTGCATGTCACATGTTATTCTTAGATTAGCCGAGCCTATTCTAGTTGCATTTTGTATGCGTTGCATTAGCCATCGTTAACATGAACTAGGATCATGCATGATTACTAACTAGTTTCTTGTTTTGGCTCGGAGTACACTGTGAGTGTTTATGCTTTAGCATCTTGCATGTATGTGAGTGACTGCCATGATAGCATGCTTACCATGAGGCTATGTGCTTATGTGATATAACTACTTGAATACCCGTGGGTGAAGGTTGGATTACTTGAATTGGAATAATTCATCAAAATCCATGTCTTAGCCTACTTGTGAGTAGCACCTTCAAACCGTTTTTCAAAACGAACATGAGATGTTTTATTCCAATTCAGGTGACCTAGTCTATACTTATATGCTGTGTGCATCACGTAGTAATTCTAGGCTAATAAACCGGATTAAGAACACATATCTTTTCAAAACAAAATATCATGTTTAGTAGTGGCCGATCTTTGATCGGGCGAGCGGGGGTACTCATAGCTGACCTTCCCCAATGGTACCCAAGTTCCCGAGCCGAGGCAACTTTAGTGATGACGGACACGTGGCCTTAGGCAATGAGTCAGGGTTTCCTAAATTTTCCCAAAACAAAATATTTAGGTGGCAACTCTATATCTGGCAAAGCAGTCCATGTTTGGCACTTCTTTCTAAAAATCTGTTTTCCAAAACGTTTTTTGGATTTGGACTCTTTGACGATTCATCAGTCTTGCATTGCACTTTGCGAGATTAGATACAGGACCGTGACATTGAGTCCTGAACTGTAGCGAGCCCAAATGAACAAAACGGGATTTCCTCCCGGGGCGTTCGAGGACGTCTACAGCTGTATGTGTAGATTGCTTTTTTTCCCTTTCTGTGGGACATGCAGGCAATTTTAGTTCCTTGGCCCCTCCACATAGATTTCTATTCCCTAGAACTGAAAATGAAGTGATGTTTTTGAAAATTCCTTCATTTGGCACTTCACCCTCAAAATTGTTGAAGGAAAGATTGAGATTGACAAGTAAATTCAACTATCCAAGAAACAATGGAATATTTTCGGACAAATTGTTGAGTGAAAAATCCATGAATTGAATGGCTTTCAAGTTTTTAGCTTTGAAGGAATGGTTCCTTCAAAAAAGTTGCCTTCCATATGCTAGGAGTTCAACATCAGACAGTTCCCAAGAGTACTTGGGATTTCACCAAACAATTTGTTTTCTGAAATCTCCAGTGATACCAAATTCTCCAACTTGCCTGCTTGTGATGGCAATGGCCCTGTTAAATAGTTCTGGCATACGACAAAACCGAGATAGCGCGAAGAAAGGCCAACGACTTTTCCAAGTATGCTACTTGTGAGGCAATTTTGTGCAAGATGGAGTCCTTGCAAGTTACTGCAATTACCCAAAGAAACAGGTTTGCTATGCTCGAGCATATTGTCTTCTAAAATAAGAGAAGCTAATCCACTGATATTGCCAATAGAGTACGGAATTTTCCCAGAGATGTTATTTGTGAAAAGGTTGAATTCTTGTAAATTGGTGAGTTTGCCAATTGAATCAGGAATGCTACCTATGAGCATATTTGTATCTATAGTGATGTAAGATAAGCCAACAAGCTCTGTAATCTCTTGAGGTATGTTTCTAGATATGTAGTTCTGACCCAACCATACCGATGTGAGGGTGCTGGAGAGATTTCCGATCGAATTGGGTAAATTTCCACCAATCTGAATTCTAGATAAACTCAGTACTCTTAGATTAGTACAATTAATTAAGGTGGTTAAGAAACTGATATCATTGGCCTTATCGGTTCCAAGTGGGTTACTGGCAATATGTAAAACTTGCAAATATTGAAGGCTACCTAAATTCAATGGTATTGGCCCGGTCAAAGCATTGTCTCACATACTCATTTCGACAAGGCCTGAAGCATTGGCTAGGGATAGTGGAATGGACCCAAAAAATTGATTTATATCGGCTAAGAACAATTGGAGTCTCAGAAAGGTGAGGCCTAAATTGGATGGAAAATTTCCACTCAATGAGTTGTTTGTGACCAAGAAAATTTGGGTGGCGGAGATGTTGTAGAGCTAATCAGGAACCATACCGGATAGATTATTTGAAGACAATTGGAATGCATATAAATTTGAGAGGTGTCCAAGCTCAATAGGAATGGTTCCATGAAGGTTGTTGTGTGCAAGGTCAAGAATTTGAAGAGCAGAGAGGTTTCCAAGTGAAGGTGGAATGTTTCTAGAGAAATGATTTCTAGAAAGACTTAGTTGATAAAGATTAGACAAAGTGCCTAACTCCGCAGGAATGTTACCTTCAAGGTTGTTTCCTTTCAAATCAATGACTCGAATACATGGAAAATAAGTCAGATTGGTTATCAATGACCCGGATACGTGGAAAATGAGTCAGATTGGTCGGAATTGTCCCTTGGAAAGAGTTGTTTGCGAAAAGAAGATATTGCAGGCGAAACAACCTGCCAATTTCTAACTGGATTGTGCTTGGAAGTTGTTATTTTGAATATTGATATCTTCAAGGAAGGTAAGGTTACCTATGTGAGGAGACAGGGAACCAGACAAGTGAAGTGATGACATGTTTAGGACGGTTACTCGTTGGTGTCGACTCCCGCATGTAACTCCGTGCTAGTTGCAAAAATGAATAGAATCGGTGCACGAACTAAGAAATTGTGAAGGGTCGGATGTTACTAGATCTTTAATGGCGATTAGAGCTTCACGGTCGGTCTTATTTGTGAAACCAGAAGTTGGTTTGGCTAAAAAACCAATGGAGTGAATGTAAAAGAGAAGATAAGAGAGAAGGAAAGTGAAACTTACTTCCCTGGAAAACATAATTGTGTGCAGCATTAGACATGAGAGTAATGATTCTAATTGTGTGATTTTATATGATATTGGATCAGTCTGTGTGCAAATCTCCCATTCGATTACTGAGTTATGGCATAATATGATTGGATCATATAGTCAATACATCACATCGTAACTTAAAATACATCACATCGTAATCGAAAAGGTGCATACTACAGATTTGACCTAAATTATTGGATGTGAATGAGACATTCAGTCCTTAATGTTATTGTCAATGAAATAATAAATTTGCTTGCAGGCCATTAATGTTGACTTTATTTAAACTTGTTAATGCATTGTTTTTACCTGAAGATGGAGATTTTGATGCTGACCTTGATGATTCATTTGGATCAAGACAATCACCCCATTTTTTAGAAATATATTTGTTTTTTGTCCTGTAACTATAAAATAATTATTTATGTTGTAATTGGATGATAGGAATTTAGAAGGAAAAAACAAATGGAAAGTGAAGAAAAAATTTACTCACGTTCTACTCATCTTTTTCATTTCGCTTTCTAAATCTCTATTCAAATTCATAACCCAAATATAGCCTTATTATCGAATGGTTCCTTTCTAGAATTTAGCCTACATATATGGGCTTGTGGTGAAGTGGTTTGTAAATACTCTTTGATCCAGGTAGATGCTCTTGATCCTCTAGTTGCTACCTGAAAAAGAAATGAACACTTCGGTCGGGGGTACCGGAATTAGCACTCTGATAGACCAGTCAGTATTCTCTCAAATCTTCCTTCTATCACAAGTTATCGTTCTCTTTTTTTACATACCTTCCTTTTGGCTGATGTTCCTCTTTTTTATATTACGCTCGGGCCCAGGGTTGGGCCCACTCTTGACCTTGCATATAATTATCTAGTTGGCCTTCCAACTGAGTGCGTTGGCTCCCATTCGGCTCTTTATAAGGCCGATTTGTATACGCAGCTTCATAGGCCTCCGAGTAGGGCCGACTTGTCTTCACCCCAACATCCCAACCGGCCTGATCTGCCTTTCTACCTCATTGATTAAAGTTGGCCACCAAAATTGCCCCCCGAACATCCGACCAATACCATTCAGTCAGCATGCTTGGCTTGCATATTAGAAGTCAAAAATATGGCGCTCGTACTTCTTTCAATACTGAAACATCAAAACTAACATGATTAGAAATCATTACAACTTTCTGCCTCTTCGTACGTGTTTGTTCATTTAATGCGATTTGAAACCGCGCCATCCATTCGAATGTTTTTTGAATGTGCAAGGCTCTTGGGTTGTCTCACAGTATTACTCCTTACTTCTCCAAGACCTTTGCGATTTTCGCTTGTTCCTCATTGCTTTTCTCTTTCTGACCTGTAAGTTCTTCTCTTTTTTATATTTCTTCCTCATTTCAACTCCCATTTTCTTGTTTTTAGTTAGCATATTTTCTATTCCATTTTGAATGGTGAAACACTTGAAAGCTCTCCATTCTGCGGATCGTGTTTCCGCCTTTCGTCGCCATTTCTTGATTCCAGACAACGTCCATTTGTCACTCGTGGCGGATAGCGTGGTTGACATAGAGAGGACTGATGCGAGTACATTCATCTTTTCTTTTCTGTCAATCACTGAGGGCGGAGTCCGTTTTCCCCTTCATTCGTTTTTTAGGGCCGTTCTTCAATATTGGGGTCTACTCCCTTCACAACCAAACATAAATTTTTACTGAATTATAATGGGCGTAATAGAATTAAATCACCGACTTAGACTTAACCTAGGAATCCATGCTATTCGGCACTGCTATGCCTTGGCGAAATCATCCAGTCAGCAGGGACGTTACTTTCTTAGGGCCAAAGACACAGATCACCATTTGGTGACTATGCTTGCCAGCTCTGGAAAGCGTGTCGATGACGTCATAGTCGTTGTCCAAGGCAACTGGGAATTCGGCTAATGCGAAGATCGCCTGGACCAGTGCTTAGACAAAAGGCGAGCCAAGTGGCTATATAGACCCATTTCTCTTTCGTTTGTGCATTTCTATAGATTTATTCAGATTGTATTCCAGATTTATTCGGCTTGGATTCTATGTACTTATCTTTTCGTTTGTGCAGGTAACGATCTGAAAAAAGCAGTCACTTCGGCCGACGACATTGTGCTTGCACAAGTCAAAACCGTACTTAAATTCTTTGGTTGTCCAAACCTTTAAAAGCAAGGGCTACTGCAATACTACCTAACATATTTAACTTTTTCAGCTACTGATCACATCCCAATCCTAAGAAATGAGCAGCATCTCACAGCACTCATCTTCCCAAATTTCAAGAGCCTTAGGGATATCGGCCTTGAGGGTTCAGCCTCAGAGGACTAAGATGGTGAAGTTGGCAATCAGGTCACTGAGTAGTCGAGCCAGTCTAACTCAGACGGGTCTGAGGGTCGCTTGGGGGACGAAGTTGATAGAGCTCTTAATTTGGCCTTTGAAGAAGTTGACTTTGACCTCCCGTCTACCTCAGGCCGAATAGAAACATCTTTAGAGGATGACATTTTCACCGACCTGGGAGACTTACCTGACGCAGACCCAGAGAACATGGCTGGAGAATCACTCGCACAAATGGCTAGAAGGAAAAATGCCGAAAAGATGGTAGCCAAAAAGAGGGTCGAAAGTGTTAGATTTATACCCCCACCATCTGTTCCTGTTGAGGAAGCGGAGTAAGAAACTGTTGCGGCTGACTCGGTTGTTGAACAATAATTGAATGATTTAGGCGCTGAACAAAGGGGGGAGAAACACCCCGCTGAGACAGAGGCCGAGTCATCCATAGAGATAACCGATAAATAGCTTGGAATAGAAGAGTTGTCCTAAGACCTAGTGGCGCCGGTTTCTGCCGATGTGTTGGCTATTAAAGATGCCATTGTGGCCCTAAGTGTGGCTTCGGCAATTTCCTTGTCGATGGACAAGGCAGCGTTCCATGCAGAACTAGACGTGGCTTTAATAGCATTGGCTGCGCAGTCGACGATATTGGTACGTAACTAGGAAATTCCATTACTTCCAATTTCTTTTATAAGCCGACTAACGTGCCCTTGTCTTGTTTCAGGCAGCGGGCAGAATCTCAAAAATCGGTCGCCGTCACTATGACACTGTTGAGCAAATCGGCGTACTTAAAGCCGAGATTGAAACTGAAAAGGGCAAGGCTAAAGAGACGATAGCCGAGTTGGCGGTGGCGTCTCTTAAAGCCGAGTCTGAGGCCAAAAAGGCGGAAGAGGAGCGAATGAAGGCCAGTGTTGAAGAAGAAAAGACCATACGTGCCGATTTACTCTGGCTGGTTGCCGAGGAAAGGGCGAATATGAGTGACGATGCACTGAAGTTGGCCAAAGAGGCGATCGAGAAACTAAAGACCGATTTGGAAGAATCAAATAAGGCAAAAGAACTCGCCGAGTCAGAGATTTCCAAGGCGTTCGATGCCAGAGAGAACGCGGCCATGGAGAAGTACATGGAGGAGGTATTGAAATTCGAGAACCGAGGCTTTAAGCACGGCTGGCTTAAAGCCTGGCGGCCGCCAATGTGACATTGGAGTAGTTGATTCCATATGAGCAGCTGGAGCCATTAGAATCTGACCTTGAAGAATAAATATTGTGTTAGTGTAATTTTGCTTCATGTTAGGTATCCTATGTAGCTTTTGTAGGTTTGCTTATTTTGTTTAGAGGTCATTTGTAGGATAATTTTCATGTATAAAGTGATGTTTGTTTGTACTCAGTTTATTAATGAAAATAGCCTGTTTGTCTTTTCAAGAAAGCAAGAAAACTCTGTTCTGTATTTATTAATGAAAATTAGTGGCTAAGTAGGACAATGTAGCATAATTCGGCACTAACATATTGGCCGAATGGATTTATAAATCTACCCTTGCCCTAATTGGACACGTTGTGCCAAAGCCGACTAAAACATATGGCCCAACGCTAAGCTCGTCTGGCTAAGTGGGGCAGTGTAGCGTAATTTGGCTTTAACATTCAACACACGAGGGCTTCATCATTAGTATGCAACACCATCGCTTATTTATAATGACGAATGTGGTCCGTGGGGTCTGATTTTCCGTCGTACAAGGTGAATGCCGGTGTTTTGAACTTCTTAGGTAGCACACCCCTTGCAATGTGTCATACGAAAGGGTCGTGCTTGTCCTCTTCATCCGAACCATCACTTCCTTTTCCTCGCCCGTGTCGTACATACGAACTACCCTCGAATGAGCTAGACACATCAACTCGCTCCTTCTTTCTGAGTTCCTAAAATGGCGAATCGGAATCACTGCCACTGTCATGTTTTCAATGTTGATGCCATTGATCATCCTTCTTCTTCTCTGGCGATCGACCCCAATCATGACATGCGGCCTGCTGGGATTTGGCTACCTTCAGGGCCAATTCCTACGTAAGTGCTCGTTATCGGCCGCCATATCTTCCAGGCGTTTTTCGTTTCATTTTGCTTGATCCTTGATCGTCTACATAGTCTCCTACATAGAGGTTGAGGGTAAGGTTTGAGCTACTAAGTCGAAGTTCAGGGCCCTTCGTGCGGTGATATTCTCCGGTCCAAGCATGTTTCTTGGAGTAACATCATCTCTTGGTGTAACATCGTCAGCAATGAACGAAGAATCATTTGTTACGCCTGCCATGAACGCACTTGAGTATTCCCATAGATGGCGCCAATTGTGGTGAAGTGGTTTGAAAACACTCTTTGATTCAGGTAGAGGCTCTTCATCCTCTGGTTGCTACTTAAAAAAGGAATGAACACTCTGGTCGGGGGTGCTGGAATCAGCACTCCGACGGACTAGTCAGTATTCTCTCAAATCTTCCTTCTATCACAAGTTATTGTTTTCTTTTTTTACATATCTCCCTTTTAGCTGATGTTCCTCCTTTTTATATTATGCCCGGGCCTGGGGTTGGACCCACTCTTGACCTTGCATATAGTTATCTAGTCGGCCTTCCAGCTGAGTGCGTTGGCCCCCATTCGGCTCTTTATATGGCCGATTTGTATACGCGGTTTCATGGGCCTCCAAGTAGGGCCGACTTGTCTTCGGCCCAATATCCCAACCGGCTTGATCGGCCTTTCTACCTCATTGATTAAATTCGGCCTCCATAGGGCCTTAAAATGTCATGCATAAGTGTTCAATGTTACTGGCCTGACTTGTATTACTTTATCATTGTTTTTCTTTTCTGATTGAATAATTATTTAGCATTGATAACATTTCTTAATTGAAATTATCTTCACCACTTTACCTTCATACATTATAATATATGTTACATGAATTTGGACATGAGTATTGAGTGATGGTATGTCTAAATCTATTATCTTTCTAAAATTTGAGTGTTGGAATATATATTTAAAAATTGTGTATTGATATGCAGACATATCTAAAATATTTAAACATTTTGCGTGGTGTATGATATTTTGATATAAAATGTAGTAAATTAATAGTAATATAATTGAAATTACATGGGATTTCTCTCTCTTATCCATGTTAGAGGATAGAAAGTCTTTTTTACTAGCAAATGTGATTTTTATTTTTTTTTTCTTTTTTGTTTTCAACCATTGTAAAAAAAAAAAATTAGAGGATTTAAATGCCTAATTTAGGTACGAGTGTCGGACATATATCCTATACTCTTGCTCTTGTCATTTCTGGTGGACATAGAGGAATAGAATAGCACTAACAGCTTATGATCTACTTTTGAACTCCAGAAAGTTTGCACCAAATAATTGGTTACAGCTCTGTGATCATGGTTACAGTAATCGAAAGCAGAAAGCAGAAGCGAGAAGCAGCACTGCAGCAGCAACAACGAATAATTGGAATTCATTGGAACAGATGATGAAAAAAATCTTAACAAATATGAAAAACTGGAAATGTTGTTTGGTTAAATGCATCAATTAAGATGGAGCTAGACATTCGTCATCGGTATATCTACAACGTTAAGATTTTCTAAAGAGGCTGCCACGCTTTCTTTTTCTTCCAACCGATTATTTACTGTTATTAATTTTTTTTATTATAAGATTTAGGATTATAGAGTGACTCTGCATAATAATTGATGATCACCAACTCATATCACATTGCATTAGTTGCATCATGTTAATGATAAATTACTCTGTAGGAGTAGATGCGGGAAACATTATGAGGAGAAAGCCTTTACTCGGACAGTGAAGCTTTAACGTTGTGTTTGGTTGGAGGTTTGGGGAAGAAGGAAAGAGAAAAGATGTATAAAATTAGATGAATTGTAGGTATATTTTTATTTATAATTCACCTACCTTTTTCCCTTCCATTTTTAAATCCCTCCCAAAATTCCCAACCAAATATTGCATAAAAGAAATTTCATATTCAGTTAAAGTTTGGGGTGTAATTGAAAATGACAAAGAGAGGGTGGTTGGAATTTGAGTTAGGATTTTAGGTTTTGGGTTTTGGTCTTAAAATCGGACAGAATTTTGGATGTAATTTAAAAAAAAAAAAAAAAATTAGAATCATTAGGAGGGAAAGTGAGAAAAAAATATATTTTAAAGGGTAAAATGGAAAATTTTGAAACTTAAAGGGACAGTCTAATTTATCCATTTCATGTCACATGTTACCATGCGACTACTGGTAATGTGACATTTTTCTTCTGAAATTAAAAAAGAAATTAGTTTTAAATGTAAATTAATAAAAATTATAAACGTTAATGAATAAAGTAGAAAAAAATATTTTAAACTCAAAATAAAAAATTATGAAACTTAAGAGACGCAAAATATAAGAAAAATTCTGAGAGCTCTAATAGCTCTAATTGATGTGTGGATCCTATTTGATGTGATGCATTGGCTTTGTTTTGTTTTGGTTAATATTATAAAAAAAAAAAACTGAATATAGAGAGACGCAAGACAGTTGACTTTAGGGGGAAAAAATTGTGAAATTTAGAAAGTATAACTAAAGAAAAAAAAGGGGTGGAAAAAAAAAAAAAAGGGGGGGGGGGGGGGGGGACGAATTTCGTATCATGTAACTAAGACATGAAATAAATATATAAATAATTAATTTTATTTTATTATAATAAATGGATACAATTCTCTATAATTTGCTCTATTACAAAAGAGTGGGTCTTCTGGTTCGATTTTCGAAATGAGCGTAATTCAATGGTTGTAAAAAGTTGTTGTTCAACTAGACAAGTTGATAAATTTCTTCAAGTCTTCGAATGGAGAAACTTGGAGAAAAAATGTTTGATCGAGGGCTTGAACGGCTTGATATTTGAATAGTTCTTGAAATGATCTCTTTGAAAGGAGACCAAATTTGTATTTGTAATTTAAAAGGATTGGCACAAGCTTGGGGTGCTTGATAATACTCTCTTCCAAGTTTGAGGAACTTCAGAAAATTTTTTAGAGGAAATATCATTTTATCCCCTAAACTTTCACACATTTTTCAATTTGACCCCCAAACTTCAATTAATATCAATTTTACACCCAAACTTTTGAAATTTTGATCAATTTGGCCTCTGTCTTTACATTCCGTCTACAATTAATATAATGAGAGCCTCTATTTATAGGCTTAGAAGGGAAGGGTTAATTTTGAAAACTCCAAAATTGGCTCTAATTTTCAAGAAAATAGCAATTTATCTATTATAGAAATGATTTGTATTGAAATTTGAATTAAATTTGAATTATTCCACCAAATTCTGACAAAATATCTTTATGGCCCCCACACTTTTGGGTCGAAAATAGGTTCACTTTTCTACTAGATAACCCATAATTTAAAATGGGTTAAGATCCATAATTTTAGTAGGACTCACATCCATTTAAAGAATTTGACCATCTTAATTTTGATTAATCAAGAAAATTTATTTATCTTGATTAATCAAATGGTGATCAAAACATATAAAAATTTAAGTGTCTATAGGGGGATTGGGGCAAATCTACTTGGTGGTCCAACTTATTATTTATTTGTTAAAATTAAAGGGTTAATTATTTAAAAGTACTATTTATAATTGTTATAATAACTCAGGTCTTATCTAAGATTTTTTGAACCAATAAGTCATTTTAGTAAAATTAAGAATATTATCAATTTTTTCCAACTTTTAAAACTAAGAACATTATCAATTTTGTATAATAATGTTTCAGATAATTATTTCACTAATTGATTAAGAAAAAATAGAGATTAATCGTTTTTGCCCTTCTACTTATTGGTTTGATTCAACTATCTAATAAACTGATAACATTATCAGTTTTTTTTTTAGTTTTAAAACTAAAAATATTATCAGTTTTTTCGTTTTTAATTTTTTTTTTTCAGTTTACACATCAATGTTCCATCATCATCTCCTTTATAGACACAAAATTTTCAGTTTTGTACAAAAAAATAAATCATTTTTTCAAAAAAAATTAAATTTTTTTTTTTGCACATAATTTTTTTTTTTTTAGCTTTTTCAATTTGAAAGTTGATGCTTTAAAGTTTTGAAAATTAAAATAAATGTCAAATCATCATATTCCTTTATAGATAATCATAAATGATGAATAATCATTGATTGAAGGGCAATTCTGACTATTATAAATTTAATGGAACTTGAAGGTTTAAAATTTTTTAATTAAGACTTAATAAAGTATAAGTTCATAAATTAAAACTTGTGTATAAATGTCCCAAAATTAAATGGTATGAAATAATATTTCAAAACCACCAATAATTAATCCGTCTAAATGTCATCATTAATCATCATAACATTATTAAGATAAACTAATTTAATTTTTCCTCTCATCTCTCTTCGCCTCTTCAATTAGGCTAGGGTCATTTGAAAAGTATTTTTTTTTTTCTCAAAAACAAGTTTCCAACTCACAGTGGTTGCACTATTGCAAAACGTAAGTGGTGGGAGACGAAAAATTGGACCTAGGGATGCTGCTGGGGTCCAAAACCGGGTTAATTTTAATTATTCGTAATATTTATATTGTAGAGTTCGTTAAATGGAGTATTTATAAAAAAAATTAAGTTAATTAGACATTCGTAACCACATCATCAAGGCCTAAATAATGAATAATTTATTATTAAAATCATAATTGCCATTTATTTCTTGAAAACAAATGTGATATTTTAATGTGGCGACAAATGTTCAATTAATTTAATTTTTTCATAAATAATCTACTCAACAAATTTGATAATATAAATGGCTCGAATCATCAAAATAGAATGGGCATGGATCCTGATGAGAGGCCACAGGACCTTGCTGCATCCCCATATCCAAAAGGGTCAAGCTTAATGGATGCACTTGACCCATGTCCCTCGTTTTCCATTCATCTTCTCATTGTATACCTATTAAAAGCCTAGATAGGGTGCTTAGAGATTAAATATTATGGGTGTTTATAAATTTTTTAAAAAAAAATGGTGATTAAAGATATATGGATGTGATAAAAGAAATGTATGATGGAAATATGATTGCCAATAAAAAAAAAAAAAAAGATGGAATATGATTATAATTAAGTCATTTCTAAGAAAAATTAGTGAATTTTGAACACCGTAAGGTTGCACAAACAACAATTGCAAATTTATAATGTGGGCATGAATTAGGATAAAAGAATTTGCAAAAAAGAAAAAATGTTGGAAAGTTGAAAAAATATTTTGATATTTTACTTAATTGTCCTTATCTATTTTAAACAAGTGGATGGAACTATGATCAAATATGACATATGTGATAATTGTTTCCTAATTTGTGAGGAAAAAGAATTTTCTTTCAGCATTTTGTAAGAAATCAAAATCTAAGTTTAGAATTTAATTTTTAAACATTTCCAAGTGTATTTATTTATTTATTATTTTTTTTTTGCACAAGAAAATGCCAGCCGGCTTACAAAGACTCCAAAGATAAAATAGCTTGAAGCTCTGAAGGAGGATGAGCAACCCAGTCAAGGGGAAGCATGCCTTTCAAGTTGCAAGAGGCTACCTAATGGGCCACATGATTTGTGCTTCTTGGCGACCAACTAAAAGAAATATCCCTTCGAGACCTTGTAGAGCGAATGTCATGTATAATGGCCAGGCAATCCCATGGAGGAACCAGTTCAGATACACTTAAGTCAATGACTGATTTGTTATCCCCTTCCACACTGACTTCTCTGAGGTTGAGGGTTTGAGAAAAGGCACATGCCATTCGAACCGCTTGGGCTTCTCTTTGCAGGGTTAACGAAACATGAACAGTAGAAGTACGACCATCTACCAGCTTTCCTCCCCAATTCCGAAGAATAACAGCCAGGGATGCTTTCGACCCATCTCTAGAAAAACTGGCATCACAGTTAATCCTAAACTGGCCCAGACTTGGAGGACTCCATCGGTAAATAGGAGGCTCTGTCACTTCTGCATTTGGCTGTTGGACACCGTGATGATTAAGCACAAATAATTCTCTCCAAGAAACCTTTGCTTGTTGTAGAGTGATCGTGGGGTTTTGTAGACACCCCATTTTTGACCGACCTTAAGACTCAGACGTCATCGATTGAGCGCTCGGTGATTGCGCATGTTGTGCTCGTTTCGAAGTTTCGGAATCTTGGCTGACAGCCTTGCCTCTGGGTCCCCGAACTCTTTGTGCTTCGGCTTGGTTTGCGGACCAAGCCTTGTTTCCCTTCCCGGAGGGAGGGAGAGGTCTTGTAGACCATCTCTCTATGGTTGTAGAATACTTTTCATGGTCGTAGGCCACTTTTCTCGTTTGGAGACTAGTTTGTGATTTTTGGAGCCTTCGGTTGTGCGCCTTGTCTCGGGACCGCTTAACGTTCTCCGTTTGGCGTGGTTTCTGAACCACACCTTGTTTCCTCTGCCTAGAGGAACACTGTGGTCTGAGAGACCACTTTTGTGGTCATATACCACTTTTGGTGCTCGGCAGCTAGTTTTCGAGGCTCTCGACCGCGCGCCTTGCCTCCCGAGCTCCCGTCTTGCTTCCGTTTTGGTTGGTTTTTTGTACAAACCTTGTTTTCCTTGTTTGGGAGATTGTACAAGGGTGGGAGACCACTTTTCTCCCCGCCAGCCGATTTTCTGGCCGAGAAACTGGTTTTCTTGGTCTTTGGGCCACATTTGCTGGTCTTCCACCCCACCATTGGCTTGCTTTCAGTGTGGAAACCACCAATTCCCCCTGCTGACCACTTTTTCACCTGGGAGACTACTTTGGGTGGTCGGCCGACCACTACAACTAGCCGGCCGACCACTTTATGTGGTCGACAGCTTTCCCCCATGTTTTGTCAGACATGCCAGTTGTGCCAACTGGAGGGCACAGACTGTATCCTCCATGTGTATGGAGGAATTGCATCCAAGTTTCAGCTTCTTGAGGAAGCTTTAACTTTTGCTCCTCTATAAGAGAGGGCCTCCCTCTCCATTGCAGAGGTTCCACTACAAGAATTTACACATTTGGCGACCACTTTTACCGACTAAAAAAATTTTGGTCGCAAAAAAATGACGTTTGCCAACCAAATATTAATTAGTCGCGAATGATCATTAATTTTGGAGACCAAATTTTATTGGTCGCAGAAGGTTATATTTTGGCAACCAAAAAATATGTTGGTCGCAGAAAGTGGTATACTTTTGCCGACCAACTACAAATTTGGTCGCGGAAGGTCACATATTTTTTGGCGACCAAAAATTTGGTCGCGAAAAACTTATTTTCAGCAACCAAAAAAAATTAGTCGCCAAATTAGTACTTTTAGCGACTAATATTTTAGTCGCCGTTGATTGAGATTTGGCGACTAAAAAAATTTGTCGGCAAAAGAACCTATTTTTGCGACTAATTTGAGAGTTTGGTCGCCAAAAGTTTGGGGGGAAATTTGAAACGTGGGACGGGAATTGAATTTCAGAAAAATAATTCCAGATTGGGGTAATTTTCTACTTCACACACTATTGATGCATCAATCGAACCCAGATTGGGGTAATTTGGTTTAACTCGTCTCCTCCCATTCCCTCTCTGTCTCTCTCTCCCTCTCTGTTCTTCTTTCCTACCCTCCCTCTTGCGCTCGCTCCCGATGCCGGCCTCGATTTCTGCCTCTCCCCCATTCTCTCTCAGTGTCTTCAAGTCGCAATCCTCCCACTCGCAAGGTAGGGTTTCCGATTGTGAATCGCGACACTGTGTTTCGATTGGGTCACCGAAGGCTAGGGTTTCCACCACCACAGCCACCGTCATCATCATCAGCTTCCTCAAATTCTACATTGACGCCGCTGTCTCCTCTTTCTCTCTCTGCTTCGAACCCCCATGGGAGCTCTCCGGTACCTCTCTCCCTCTCTCTCTCTCTTTCTCTCTATGCTTCAAGTAAATCGATATTTGTTGGTGGAATTGAGGTAATGGTAAAGACTGATTATTGTCAATAATCAGTCAAGTAAATCGATTACAAAGTGGAATTGAGGTAATCCTTTTCTATGCATTTGAATTCAAAAACATGTATTTGTTGTCAGAAAAGTTGTGTAATTACATATCCTCTGGGATTCTGACTTAGTTAAGGAACTCATTATCTTTCCTTGGACTTGGGATCTCATACTGCTTTTTTTAGAATTTCAATTAATTTCACTGATTTAGGTTGTGTGATAATTTCAATGTTTACATTGCATTTTCTTTAATTCAATCTGAATTTCAGGGTACTGCATCAGTTTCTGAAAATCAGGATGCGACTTCATTGTTCTAAGGTAATCTTTTTAAAAACCAATATCTACTCATTAATGAATGAACAAAAATGAAAAGAAAAAATCATCTCGAACAACAAAGACCTGGTAGTTCTTCATCTTTATATGTGTATGTGTGTATCTACTCATCTTTATGTGTGTATGTGTGTATGTTTCTTTATATTTGTTGGTGGAATTGAGGTAATGTTTCTTTATGTTCTTTATTCAAATTCTTGTTATACTTGTAGACCGTGACTTTAGGTGGTAGTCTATGGGCATTTTCTGCAACATTCTTTTATAGGAGAGTGGAGGGTGAAAAGTTCATCAATCAGTTTCTAGATATAATCCATTGCAATTAATAATAACAACTGAGTGGTCAGTGTGTTGTGTGGTCAGGAGGGTGGGATATGTACTGGAACCTCATATTGCAGGTAATCTAATGGCAAAGTGAGAGATGGTCATGCAATTTGTTTTGATAACATTCTTGGGCAAATTAATGATGTTTGGCTTTTGGAGAGTTTTATTTCTACATCACTTCTTTATATTATCATTTTATAGGTTTGATTCTGGTCTTTTTCATATAAATGCGTGGTTCTTTTCTAATGTGGATTACACTGTTTAGATGGTGGCTTGATTTAGATGTTTGGCTACCGAGAGTACCATGTGGGCTGAGTGAGTTGTGGATAAATGTCTAGATGATTTGGATGATTTTGAATAAATGTTTTATTTGTTAGTGTAATTAAGAATTGGTGGAACTTGACCAAACTTTTCTTTTTTGATCAAAATTTTTTTTATTAAGAACTTGTGGATCATCTCTTGCTTTATTGCAGTTCAGCCAAGGATATTTAGATTTACTTTTCCATTTGCATGAGCTATCAGCTTGTCATGCCAATAAATTAGGTTTTGGATTTGCATGGTGGTGTAGGAGATGGAAACAGGGAAATGTTTTTTTTTTTTTTTTTGGGACAAGTTAAAGGAAAATGGTGCTTTTTTTGTTTACTCGTATTGAGAAAATAATTACACTGTCCAAAGGACTGGATTTTTCATTACATTAAAGTGGGTTGTTTCGATGGACTATAACAACTATCTATTGTGAATGGATTTTCTTATTTTATAATTTAAATGGGGAGATGGTTGCTTTCTTATTACCTCTCCTAGACCCTTCTGTTAGCAATGGGTATGAACTTTATGATATTTTTTTAATTGCTTATTTTTGCCTTACTTCTGTGCTTAGCATGCAGGGGAAAACTATCACTACAGAAAATATATGATTTTACGGCGTTTATTTAACGGCGTTTTTTTAAACATCACTATTTCTAACATTTAACGACGTTTTATAAACGTCACATTTTATTTTAATTAAAACGGTACCCTTTAAGTAATCCAAGTCGTTTGAAAAGCGCCTCCAAATGTGTTTCTCTCTCTCTCTTCAAACCCTCAAATCTCTCACCAACGTATTTGAATCTGAGAAACCCTAGAGTCTTAGAGAAACCGATCCCTCAAATCTCTCACTCGCTCTCTCTCTCTCTAAACCCTTCAGTTCCTTCAACTCAATTCAACCTTCTTCGCTCGGTGATTCATCATTCGGTTGATCCAATCTCAGAATGATTTTGATTTCGAAGCTCCACAGTCACCGCCACCGCCACCGCCACCACCATCTGTATCTGCATCTGCATCTACATCGTCTACTAACCATCTGCATGATTTTGATTTCAATCCAATCTCAGTTTCGTCGATTCTTCTCTCTCTCTCTCTCGATCTCTGCCTGTCTCTGTCTCTGTCTCTGTCTCTGTCTCTCTCTCGATCTCTCAATCTCTCTCTCGATCTCGTTCTCTGCGTACACATTATCTGTACTTTTTTTTGGATAATTTTTTTGTCCTAAAAATCTCTCTATACAAGTATATATATGAATTTTTATATGTATCTCTATGTATTAATTGAATAATCATCCTTATTTTGTTTTCAGGCTCTCGAATGATCCAATCGTTGATCGGCAATGACAGAAAAAATCAACTCTTGTGAGAAAAGAAACCTAGCTTTCTCATTGGAGGTAAGTTCTAATATATTTGTTTACATGTTTGTTCTGTTTTTGATCTTGTTTAGATTTGTATTGAACAACTCTATTTAGATTTGTTTACTCAATATATTGATGAGAATCTACTTGAATTTGGTTTCTTTTACTTTTGTCTATGCTCTGAAGTCTTTCATGTGTAGGGCTGTGAGAGAGAAGTTGCAGAGTCTGCAAATGGTGTCTCAGAAAGATAGATAAAAAGAACAGAGAAAAAGAAAATGGTTCATCTGACTAGTGCCCTTCATATATTGGATTATCAAGAATATGCATAATCACTTAACAATAACTAAATTTGATGACTAGAAGGAAGAAGTTGAGTTAAATGGTGAAATAATAACTGAATGGAGGAAAATGATTTACTTACTTTAACTCAAGTTGTTGGGATATATGATTTGTTGAGTAAATTTGTATACTTAACCTACCTGGCATATGATGGTGCATACAATTGTGTTTATACAGTTGTTTTAGACTAATAGTCATCAATAGATCACTTATTTGGTTTATTATTTTGTAGCCAGCTTCACCTACCACCCTTATAAAGGAAATTGCAATTTTTGCTGTCAGATTAAGCAGGGAAAGACAGGATATTTCTCAAGTTGAGATAATGGGGAAGTTTGCCGGTGCAGTTAGAAATTACAATGCACATCTTGTTGCATACCCTAATATTAAATGGCCTCAAATTGCAGAGGAGTTCATGAAATCTCTTGGATTAAGTTTCAATCCCTGTGTGACTCAGGTGTGTTCTATGCACAAGATTTCTTCTCACTTAAGTTTTTATTAGGTTTCTCCGTAATTCTTCACAGACCAGAGTAATTTTTAGAAGTTTTATCAACAAGTTCTAAGTTAACAATCAGTAACCACATTTTGATGGATCCTTTTGATATGCTCTCTGTTGGCTCGTAGAGACCTACCATCCACTGTACGGCTGCTCTATGTACAAAGCTAGAGAAGTCGGTAGTCTTTATTACATATTAGTTACTCATTAGTGAACTCTCTTCCCAATTTTTATCGCCGTCCTTGCTCCTTATTTTTTTTATGTAACAATTAATTCATCCATATTAAACTGTGATAGAGGACATCACTTATGTGTTCCTTGAAAATTTTGAATTCGGGTCATTATCTTCTAGCTAATGCTTTCATAGTTTAACCATGTTCTGCAAGTTAGTTGCTACTCCAGATTATCAAGAGTGTGCTCGATCCTTGTGAGGATGAAAATGATGACATTCAAGATGATGATGTGAGCTTGGGGGCTGATTTTGTACAAAAGAGTGTTCTGAATTTCATTTCATTTCATGTTTTGGTCAATTTCACGTATATATTATGTGTGTATGCAGTGTAATTCTTAACTAAAATTTTGTATTTGTGGTTGTGTTATTGGGAAACAGATAGCAAAGTTCTGATGGAGGTCTGGTTGGTTGTGAAAACAGTGATACTGGGGAACCAGCAATGGAGATTCTTGAAGAAAGGATAGTACAGAATGGAGCAATATCTTTCTCCAGGGGGGCAGAAGCCTTTGAGAATGAGAAGCAAGAATCTGGGGAAATTGAGTCTGGTAATCTGGAGGGAACAGAGGGTCAGCACCCAAGTGTTTCTAGCTCTGGAAAGGGCGAAGATTTTGAATGTGGAACAAATGATGCAGAAGTCAACATTGATTCCGAATCCAAACCTGTAGTTCATGAAGAAACTGTGGTGATGAGCACTGATGTTTCAGATACGGTGAAGCCACTGAACTTCGATGAATTTAATTCAGCAGCAGAGTTGGAGGTATTATGACCAACTTTTCTTTCTGTTTATATGTGTGAAGTAAATTGGTTTTGATTGCCTTGCTTTCGGATTAAACTGGGAAATTTTTTCTTAAAACAATCAAGGGACTGATGGTCTCTTCCATGAAGTTGTCAACTGCAATGCATTCTGCAAAAGAAGAAGATAATAGCCTGTTAGTTGAAACTGTGTCTGTTCTTGAACCGTGTTTATTGAATAACGTGTCTCTCTGATTTCATAATGTCCTATAGAGAGGGAAAGAAACAGCATAAAGTTATAATTTGCAAAATTTCACATTGCACTTGTAAAATTATCTTGCCAGTTTTATATTTATGATGTCTTATTGTAGTCCATTATAAAGCTGACACAGGCCGTCTACTTTTGCAGCGTTGACAGCAACTAACATTTCGAATTTTTCTGGTATGATCTTTTAGGTTCTTGGTATGGAAAGGTTAAAATCGGAGCTGCAATCACGTGGGTTGAAATGCGGGGGTACATTGCAAGAGCGTGCTGCCAGGCTCTTCCTTCTCAAAACCACACCTTTGGAGAAGCTTCCAAAAAAGCTGCTTGCTAAGAAATGAGATATCACATCCCTCTGATAACTTTGTTTTGTTGTGGGTGAATTTGTACCTTGTGATGTCCATTTTGAAGTCTCTTTACTCCTTTTTTGATTGGTCATGTAGTTTATGTAAGCCTTGATGTTCATGTTGGGAACCCAGGGGAAGCAATCCAATTTTCAACATGGGAGTATGTTTTTAGTGTCCAATTTTCTCTAAACTTTGGAGTGTATACTTTTAATTATATGCTCATAATTACATATTACCTATAAATAAAAAAAAGATTCACGATTATAGAGATAGTGTTGCATTCATCACCATTGGATTGACTTCTTCTGCAGTGATGGCTCTGCCTCTAGCTGTGAATCTGTGGTTGCTGCAGCTGGGTATGTATGTATCTTAGCAGCCTCACATGCAGGCTGATCAGGTGCGTGGACTAAGTTTGAGAGAAATCGGAGGTGGTTTTCCAAAACACCATCGTGCTCCATCTCTTCATTGCTAAACCCTTAACAATGGTGCAAAACATAAAGAGACTAAGGGGACATAGGGATGTTGTTTATTGTGGTAATCTTCTTATCCTTAACTATATTTAACTAGTGTGGTTTTGGGAATTCCATTCATTCAAATGGTAGAGTTATTCTTAGGTGGTTCTTTGGTGGCAGTAGTTGTAAAAAAATCATATATATTAGCTTCTAATTATTTTTTTGGATAACAATTTTAGTGTTATTATTATTTAAAGTTTTTGCTGTTTGTTGCTCCCTATTCTTCTGCTAATCAGTATGTGTACTGAGAAACAAATTAATGTTTATCTATCTATCCCACCATACCTTTTGACTTTTACCGATCAAAAAATAAAATAAAAACACATGCACACACACAAAGTAGACATGTTAATAAAATTTGCTCTTTTTTAATTAGTTAAACAGGACTGTTTTACGAAATTGTCTCAACCACATCTCAGATATTGGCTTTTAGAGCACAACATTAATAGTTTATATATTGCCATATTCAGTTTGTTTGGATGGAACTCCATTTTCATTCCTTGTGTTACTTGTCTACTCTTCTTAATTTTACTGAAAGGGTGACATTACTGACTTGGCTGTAAGTTCAAACAATGCTTTGGTGGCATCTGCTTCAAATGACTACAGCATTCAAGTTGTAAGGGTTCTTTCCAGTTTACACTTAAAATATAAATCCGTCATACTATTTATCCCTTGGTGACCTAATAGTTTTTTCTTGTGTATTACAGTGGCGCTTGCCAGATGGATTTCCTATTTCAGTTTTGCGTGGACATATAGGAGCTGTTACTGCCATTGCATTTAGTCCCCGGCCTAGCTCTATGTACCAGCTGTTATCGTATGTTACATCCCATACTTCTAAATGCATGTTCTATTCCCTATAGTCCCTCAATTGATCTAATGGCTTTATTCTTAATATGTCATTTGATAGTTGTGCTGTGCTTCTGCTAGCACCCAGAAATTTTATCATAAGCTAAGAAGCACATGTGAAGCACATGTTGCATCAATACAGATTTGTTGTTCCTCAATCTTATTTTGTTGTATTGTTTTATGCTCTGTCTAGCTAGGATGTCCTGGTTTTCACATCGATCTCTAAAGTTCATTTAAATGTTATTTTCCCAAGGAGGTGTTGTTCCAGTGTATAAGCGGAACATTCAAATGAGTTATGTTAGTGATGTCTGGAGTCTTTAGTTTCTAAGGTCAGGTCATAGCTTTTGATTGGTTAGATTTACAATGCTCTTTCATAATTCACACATAAATTGTATGGGTGTATTAGAAGCCTGAATAATATTTTTGCCTTGAACATCCAACAATGCACTAAAATGTGGAATTATTTTATCTGCACTATTTGAAATGTCCAATCATTTCAGTTGTCTGACCTGCCTATTGAAAACCAAAAATTTTTTAGTGAAGTGTATAGTTGATAAAATCATATTGTGAATCAAAATATTAATTTTGCTAATTATGAATCAAATTGAAATGAGAATTGTAAGATTTGACACAAAATATAAAAATGATATTAAATAATCGGATATATGAAAAATTAAAATAAATGGATTTTGGTAATTTTGGAGCTTTGTGATTTAAAGTTGCCAGATGTTGAAAGCAAGTGGTGCTGCTGGAATGGCTCCTCAGCGCCGTCGATCATCCTCGGCTACTCTGTTTGGAAGGATGACACAGGTAATTTAAAGTTCCCATTTGAATTTCCATGTTCTGTCATCAAACGAAGTTTTAGTCCTTTCGTTAGTTCAGGTGTTCGCTATTATTTTTATTTACAGAGTTTC